AACATAAAAGAATGAAGGCCACTTTACATTCTAAAATCAAAGATCTAAATATTTTAACTTCTTACTTGGGATTTACTTACTATACCATATTGCTTGACATTAATAGTTTATTAGTAACAACATTTCTAAACTATAGTTTTAACATTACTTTTACTATGGAAGAACATTTTTAATTATTAATTAATTAGAATTAGGGACAGCTGAAATCTAACTATAGGAAATTTTCTCTTAAATTCTAACTTCATATATTTTAGGAAACTCTAAACACTAATTTACCAAAACTCTTTATTACTTGACCTAGAATCTAAATTCTCACAACAATTTCTTTCCTAGTCTGTTTGTCTCTTACTTTTACGGTGTAAGAAAAGAACTTACGAATGCCAAACTCTCATCCATTCTCCAACCTATTACAAATATAATTTATTCTCCTTCAGTCATTTGTAAATGAATTAAATAAACCAGGTAATTATACTCCAAATATGTGCTAAGCAATCATTTATTTGAAAATAATGATGAACAGTGATCTTAAGTCCTCCCTAAATTCACACCAAACTGTCAACAAGCTGAGTTTGGCATAGTCTGATGCAAGATACAGCTGTCCACTAAAATACAGCCATTCTTTTCCCTCTCTTTTATCTTCTCCTGCAAACTTCAACTTTAATCCCCTCTGCTAACTTTCACTTGCAAACAAACTGTTTTGCTTGCTGCCTACACTAATTAATGCTTTGTCTAATTTCCTTTGCACTTGTTAGTAGTAGCTGTTCTATAACCTTTTACTTCCTCTTTATATTTTCAACAGCTTTTATTAGGAATGGAAATAGGATTTTGTCAATTCTATAAATATAATCAATTTACAGATATAAGGGAAATTTTTCTCTTTGTTGTTATTGTTGTTCTGTGCCGTGAGTCGGTTCCAACTCAAAGCGACGCTATGTACAACAAAACACTGTCCAGCCCTGCACCATTCTCACAATCGTTGCTATGTTTGAGCCCATTATTGCAGCCACTGTGTCAGTCCATCTCATTGAGGGTCTTCTGCTTTTTTGCTGACCCTCTACAAATTTCCCCTTGGACCTATGTTACTAGATTTGCCAACGTTAAATACGTAATTCTTACATTTCTAATGTAAATCCCACTGAGTCATGGAGTACTATTTTCTTAATGTAGTATTTAAGTGTTTTACTTATATATTTTCAAGAATTTTTCTTAAATATAAATAAGTAATATTGACCTGTAATTTCTTTTTTTTCCTTCCCTTTATGAGGTTTATTTATCAACATCATAATTTCACAGAAAAATCCTTTTCTTAATTTTCTATGCTCTGAAACAATTCATGTACTACTGAACTATCTGGTTTCTAAAAATTTGGTAGCATTCCTCCTATATGAGCCTGTTTTTGTCCCATGGGGTAATTGCTTGATAATGTTCTCAATTCTTCTATGGAAATTGATACTTAGAACTTCCTATCTCTTCTGGGGTCAAATTTGATAAAACTGTATTTATCTTAAAAGTTACCCACTTCAGGCCCCCTGCAAAACTACTGCCCTGAGGAAATTTTTAAACCATAAACCGAATTTTATAAACTATAAACTGAAACTATCCTCTGAAGTCATCTTTAAACCAAACAACACTTTAGCTTAATTAGAAAAGACCGTCTGCCTTGAGCACTGTGCTCTTTTAAAGAATTACCTCTACGTGATCAAATTAACAGCGACTGGAACGGTTAGATGCGAAACTCAAGAGGGCAATGACTTTGTGTTAATGATGGTGAAATAATCTGGAAAAGGGTATCAAGAAAGCTGGCACAGCTTGAAGAATGTAATCTACGTCACTGAATTGTACATGTAGAAATTGTTGAAGCAGTATGTTTTATTATGTATATTTTCACAAAAAAAAATTTCAAGGTTTTCAATTTGCGAAAAGATTTGCAAAGAAGTCTTTTAGTATTTTTTTCATTTCCTCTGTATCAATAGTAATTTCTTCCATTCATTTTGTATATTTGTGTGTTTTCTTCCTTTTTCTTGATTAAATTAGCTAAACGTCTGTTTTTTCCCAAAGAAATGGAATTTGATCTATTATTTTTCTCTTCTCTGTATCAATTTCTGCTTTTAATTTCTTTTGGTTTAATTCCTTATTATTTTCTAGTTTTTTGACCTGAGAATTTAATTCATTTATTTGAATTTTTTTTTATTATTACAGGTATTCAGGCATATGCATTTTCCTCTGGTCACTGCTACGTAATACATAGATTTTGTTTTCTAATATTTTCATTATTATTGTTAAAAATTCTGTAATTTCTGTTTGGATTTTAGATTTCCTCTTTCAGCAAAGATTTCTTTAATCAAAGGTTTTTTAGTTTGTTTTATTTTTAAATTTTCAGGTGGAAGGGCCTTTTCATATTTTGGATTCATTTTCTAGTTTCTAGTAAATGTTTGTACTGCAATCAAAGTGTGTTGCTTGTAATGTTTCTGTTTTATGAAATCCACTGATGTCTTGGTATGACAAATACGCTAAGTTTTAGCAAATCCTCTATGTGCACTTCAGAAGACTATTCTCTATTATCAGACACCTAACAACAACAACTTCAGGTTGTAGTGTCTGATATATATCCACAAGATCTACCTTACTGATTATGTTGTTTACATCTTATATATCTTTATTTATTGTCCACTGGACCTCTCTTGTACTGATATTGCTGTGTTAAAATCTCATAGTATTAGTGTTTTTATTTTCCCTCACATACCCTGTATTTTCGGTTTTACACAAAAGTTGCCTGTGTTACTTGGTTATCTGTGTTACATTCACTGTATCTATATGTGATTCACTGTCTTCACTTGGGTTACGGCATAATAAAGTGTCCTCCACGGTCTTGTGTATGCTTTTTGGTTTCAGTTCTATTTTGTCTATCTGGTGTCAGAATCACAGCCCCTGCTTTCTCATTTTTTCCATTTGCCTTATAAATTTCTATCCACATCTTTCTTTTTAGACTTTCTGAATCACTGAATTTTAAGTGCGTCTTTTATGAACATCATAGCTTGGTATTTGCTTTGTAAGACAATCTGAAACTTTTTTTTATTTTTAAATTTAATGAATGAGCTAAGCCAATTCTCATTTACTAACACCACTGATATGTTGCGACCCAAACTGTGTTATAATTAGTGGGGATATTACATAATATTTACTATGTTCCTTTCTCTACGTGATTATGCCATAAGTTTTTGAATTTTTTGAATTGTTTATGATTTCTAGGAAGATTTCTATTTTTGTTTTAGGATTATTTTTGTATTAGTACTTTCCATAGAGCCCTTAATCCTCTTTTTTATTACCTAACTTTTTTAAATCTGCTGTCAGTTGTAAATGATATAGTTTGACACCCATTTATTACCTATATAATAATAAATAACTTTTATTCTACTTTTACCTTAATTCTCTCTTCTACTGACATATTTTATTTGTTTCTTCTTTGTCAGAAAATAAAATAGTAACATATTATTCTTCTACCCATGACCTTATCCTTGTTTTAGTCTTAGCACTATAATTAAACATATGGAATGCTCACAATCAGTCCTTTTGTCAAAATTTCCCCATTTCTATCACTTGGGTGGCTGATGTTCATCCTCTATTAGCTTTCTTCAAGGAAAGTATAAGTATACAGTATTCCTTGAGGTCTTGCACATTCAAAATTGTTTTTCTGTATCTTTGATACATGATGGACAAGTTAGCTGGATATAATATCTTTAATTCACACATTGCATATGTTTCTTGAAAATGCTGTTCCACTGTTGCTATATTGTTTTTGAAAAATCTGATTCCAATCTAATTCTTGTCTTTTTATTTCATGTTTTGCCTGGGGACTTGAGAATTTCTTCTTTATCTTTAAAGACTGCTAAGTTTTACTGGAATACTTCTTGGGAGTTTCATTGTTGGTCAATTTTCCCTGGCAGGGAGCCTTTTAAATGTGTGGATTCAGGTCTTCGTCTTTTTATTTTCTAATTTTTTAAATAAATAGCTTTATAATTCATATACAATTCAAGTGTACATATTGTTTTATACAACTGCTTTTTAAATCAGTTAAGAGAAGAAAAGAGAAAAATATACATTTATATTGTCTTTTGTAATTAATTAGCTTTACCTGTGCTGTTTGTTTTCTCATGTGGATTCAAATTACCCTCTGGGGTCACTTGCTTTCAGTCTGAAGAACTTCCTTTAGTATTTCTTGTAGGGTAAGTTTGCTAGCAACGGTTTCTCTCAGTTTGCTATTTATCTGGGAATGTCTTTCTTTGATCTCATTTTTGAAGGATAATTTTGTTGAATGTAGGATTCTTGGTTGACAGTTATTCTCTTTGAGCACGTTGAATATGTTTTCCCAGTGCATTATGGCCTTCATAGTCTATGCTGAAAGGTTATTAATTAATCTTATTGGGGTTCCCTTTTGTAAGTAAAAAGTCATTCTTCTACTGTTGCTATCAATATTTTTTACTTGTCTTTCAGCATTTTTACTATGATGTGTCTGTGGATCTCTTTGTGTTTATCCTACCGGAGTCTGTTCAGTTCCTGGATGTGCAGAATATTGTTTTTAAAATACACACACAAACATACACACATATACACAAAATCCAGCTATATCCCAACTATCTAAAACGTAAAGAAAGAGAAACACTGATAATAATGGAAAAAATGTCTTCTCAAGCATGACATGCAATAAAAAGTTACTGAGCTATTAGTTCATATCCTTCAAAGTGTTGTCCCTCAGGAAACACATCTACCTCCTTAAGAGTAGTTTATTCACTCTTTCAATGTAAGATGTTTCAAAAAAAAAAGAGATTAAAATAAAATCATCTGTTATGATCCACTAAGGAAGGAGAAACTGGTGATTATTTTAAACTAGTAAAAATAAAAAAGGAAAAGGCTGTAACACTTAAATGGAGCTTACCAAGTTATTCTGTAGAATTTGAGAGTAAAATGAATGAAATACTTAAAATAATTTGTGAATAACCTACCAAATCCAGGAACACTTTTGAGACTGGCTTTGAGGCAAATTTTCTCCAATCTGAGGTAGCTGTATCTCATCAGACAATTCCACAGAAACATCCAATCCATCCTTGTCCGATGGTTCATTATAATGACACTTCTTTCTCCAGGAATAAATGCATCACCTGTTATAATCACTTTTACACCAAACACGGTCTCCAGCAATGCCTAAGGGAGAAAAACAACAACATATATACTTTGCAATTTAAAGCTATGGTTTCCCATGGTTAAATTTTATCATGCCTTATAAGTAAATCTTGTGATTTCCAATAAAGAAATCAAAAGCATAGTGCTTCCCTTGATTTTTACTTCTATAATAATTCAGGAAAAAGAGGTTAATCTAGAAGAATGAAAATAGGAAGTCACTGTTCCTGTTTTTAGTTTTTTACTAATTTAAGTTTCTGGCAGTTTTCTAATGAATATAGCTAACTCTACTTGAAATCTTCAAGGTACATTATTAAAATTAAAAAGAAAAAAGTCTCTGGGGAATTTAAGTCTCTATGACAGAGAAGATCATGGCAGAGTCCTCTAGGCTTGGACCCACATCAAGAAAGATCTTTTTTTTCTCCTTGTAAGTATAAAAAGGCATTGAATACCAAAACATATCACTGAATTATATGTCTTGGTCCAAAGATATATGAAGTCACCACCCAAGGTTAATTATGAGTGGCTCCACTCTGCTTTTCATATGTGATATACTTTTCAGTTTTTCCAAAGATCTGAAATGCAGGATGCCCTTCCCCTAATTGGTAGAAAGCAGTTCACTATTAATTTTGTGTAGTAGTAAAAAAGTGATAAAAATCTGAAGCTTAAACTCCAACCCTCAATCATAAATTATACTTTCTAATATATGTTTCCTATAGAAACCCTGGTTGCGTAGTGGTTAAGAGCTACAGCTGCTAACCAAAAGGTCGGCAGTTTGAATCCACCAGGTGCTCCTTGGAAACTCTATGGGGCAGTTCTATTCTGTCCTATAGGGTCACTATGAGTCAGAATTGACCCGACAGCAATGGGTTTGGTTTGTTTTTTTTTTTATAGGTTAAAAAATAATCTTATTTTTCATTATGGAAAATGTCAAAATAAAAAATCCCACACTGTTTGCCTAGGAGTATCTCATAGGGCTTTCCCTCCCTTGCCATTTAACATTCTATTAGAACATTCCCTTTTGGGAAGTCTAGATCTCAAAATCACATTAATCATTTTTATACCAGACAAGACACATCTAGCTAACATGTTTTACAGCTCCTGCAAAGGCAGAATAACAAATATATTACACAGAAATAAAAATGTAATGTCTATAAAGAACTCCAGAATTCAAACAACCCAGATTAAAAGACTGGAAAAGAAAAACACTATTCTCATATTTGTCCTATCTCTAGTAATAGGAAAGTTTCAGCACTGAGCAACAATAAATCCTACAAAATTTTAGAAAGCTTTATTTCTTGTAGTGAACAAAAAGCTATAATTCTCATGATCTAGTTGGTCTAATATTGTTCCTAGAATTTGAAATATAGAAGCAATTGTTGAGGCTCTTTTACATACCACTATTTACCACCTCCAAGTGTTCCACTGTGGATGAAAACACAAAGATGAGAGGTTTTCCTCATGATTATGGATAACCAGTTTTGCCATCATGCCTCATGCTCTCATTTATCATTCCAGTGGATCTTTATTTAGTCAGAATGAAGAACAACCTCATGACATTGTTGATCTCCAAATCCAAGCTTTTCAGGCTTGGTTTAGCCCTGGCTCCCCAAATCCCGAGCTATTTAAGGCCGTGCAGCCTCAAGCCATTCATCAAACACTGAGTGCTCCCTTTCTTAAGAGCAGTAGTCTAGACAGAAATTATATTCAATAATCCATGTTTATCGAGCACCTGTCTTCTTCTAGGACTGGGATGATATCAGCAAGCTGTACAAGAGGCTTGTGCCTTGGGTGGCAAGTTGGAAGATGACCTCTAAATTCCTAAGTCATGACTTATGGTGAAAGGACAGAACTCTAAGTAATTTTCATAATCCCAGATAATTAACTACTAACAATCAGATTGCTGGTAGGACTCATAATTCTGAGAAGCAAAAAATGCTTTGCGCACATGCGAAGTCTGACCCTAACATTATTAATTATGTTGAATAGAAATGTCCAAAAATGAAGGGAACAGATGAGACTTACTGGTCTGACAGAGACTGGAGAAACCCTGAGAGTATGGCCCCCAGCCACTCTCTTAACTCAGTACTGAAGTCACTCCTGAGGTTCACCCTTCAGCCAAAGATTAGACAGGCCCATAAAGCAAACAATAATACATGTAGCTCAACCATGTATACGAGACTAAATCGGCACATCAGCCAAGGTGCAAGGACGAGAAGGTAGGAAGGGACAGGAAAGCCGGATGAATGGAAATGGGGAACCCAAGGTCGAGAAAGGGAGTGTGTTGACACGTCATGGGGTTGGCAACCAATGTCACAAAACAATATGCATATTAATTGTTTAATGAGAAACTAATTTGCTCTGTAAACCTTCACCTAAAGCACAATAAGAAAAAAGTTAGGAATGAACAAAAAAGAAAAGAAAGGAACAAAGAGATGCACTCCCCATTACAGAAATGTTTAAATAGAGACTGAATGGCCAACCCACAGGCTGATCTATAAGGGATTCTTGCACACAGAGGTGGGTCAGACTAGGTGACCTCAAAGTCTCATCTCACTCTAAGACTCCAAAAGGTTTTACGACTATAACTCATTTAAAACAGAAACTGTGTTCCTTATAAACAGCAAGGCAGCAAAAATTTGCCAATGCAATTATTTTAATGTACAAGAAGAGCTTACAAAAGAAAAGATCATTTTATGATTATATCTGTGAAGCAATAATTAAAGTACATTTACCTTAATTTATTTTTAGTGAAAATGATTTCTGTTTGAGACTGCTTAAAATAAAGTACACCTATAGGGGAGAAAACAGTCCATTTTTAGACTAATTTCTTTCTGAATAAAAATGATCTAGTCTACTATTTCCTTAAAATAAAAATATTTACCATTTTGTACACATACGAGATAAAAGTTCAGAAAAGGACATCCTGACATTTTTTCTCCATTTCTTTCATCAGCGATAGCTCACTATTTCAAAACTGAAACATCAATTTTCTATAACCTAGCTGTAAGGGAACTGACTTCTAGAAACTCCTTAACTGAAGGATTCTCTGCCTGGTATGTTGTTACTAATGAACAAGGCAGTGAGTTAAACAGCTGGGTAATAGAATTTTTCTCAAACATATACCGATTTAATAATACAGTGGTAACTGAACCTCACTTATATGTTCAATTCTAAAGTCAGCCAAACAAGGCAAAAGTCAGGAATAGCTGAAATTGCCCTTGAAAATCCCATAGGAAGGTGCTTCATAAGAGATCAGCACATATCAATAAATTCAGCTCATTTTTTTTCCCCAAGTTGGACCAGACTGCTATTTCTCCAGCTGATTATCAGATAAAGTAGTTCGTTTGCATGTTTAAAAACGTAAGTATCTTTAAACACAAGAATCACACTCATCACAAACACAATTAGGTTTTCCATTTCATCTCACTTGAAGAAAAAAAAAAATCCTACATTTAAAATTTTCATTCTCCCCTCTCTCTAATTTTCCCTCCCTCATCCTAGTACATGTAACTGAAGCTGTATAAAGTAAACGGGTGTATGATATAATTCTGCTGTAATAGTTAATAGTACTAGTAGCAACAGTAATAGAAGCAGCTGTGGAGGAATTTGTCCAGTAAAATCCAGCCTTTCTTCCAGAGTAATACGGTTTAATTGTGTACATGGTTGCCCGGACAAAAGACAACATTTCTCAGATTCTATTACAGCTTTTAGCTGTTCCCACAATAATAAAAAGCAGAAGAGTAAGCAGAAGAGACATGTACAACTTGTGAGCCACTGGTCTAAAGGAAAAATGCTTGCTCTGGACGTCCTCCCCCACCACTTCCTGCAGAGTGGGGCAAAAAAAGTGGCAGTGACCCAGCCTTGACCATATAGAACAGGACATTAGCCAGGCTGTGTCCCAGGCTGGGTAGAATAACCAGCTGGAAGTAGTATGAGTCTTTGAATGCCATCACAGAGCACAGCTAATCTGCCAACCTGGACCTGTGAGTGAATAAAGTTCCACCTTACTTAAGCTACTATATTTTGAAGCTTCTGTGATATGGTACCTTACTTAGTCTATCTCCTAAAACTAATACAGCTGCCAACATTTACTACATACTTACCAAATGTCCGGCATTATATTAAAAATATATTATCTCATTTAGTCAATATAATAACTCTAGAAGATAGGTAAGGTAGGTAGTATAAGTACTCTCAGACGCATAGAGAGGCTAAGTAGTTTAGTCAAGCTCAAATGACTAGGAAGTGTTACAGCAAATACTGAAACCAAATGTCTATCTCCAATGTTTATGCTGATAAGCACTCTGCCTATATTGGCTCTCTAAAGAAATTAGATCTATGGGACACTGTAAAGCATTACAATTGCAATGATTTCTACCAATGTAGTTCAAGAAAATGATCAAATATCTCAAGGTTTTGCCAGAGAAATTTAGCCAAAAACATGTGATTCATAATCAAAAGACTATATACTATAAAAAGTTGATAACTTTGACACGATAAAAAAAATACATAAATAAGTTGATAACACTAAAGAAAACGAAGTGTAGTGGCAGTATATGACTGTCCCAAAAAACATTTTCCTCTACTCGAAGGAATACATTATATCTAAATACAGGTAGTCCCCAACTTATGACGTGGCTCCGTTCCAACGACTCCACTGTAAGTCAGCTCTGATGTAAGTCAAATACTTTTTATTTTTTAAGTTTTTATTATTATTGCCTTTTATTATCAGTATCTTTATAAATTCGATCTTTGTGTTTGGGGTTGGAAATATTACATATAAACATGTGCAAGTGAACATCTGACAATGATCACGTCAGCAAATTACACACTGCAAACATTGTATGTAGTACATATTACTAACAATAAGATGTACAAAAAACAAACTGATGGTCAAAAGTGTGGTTCACTGTTAACTAGAATATGTCGTAAGTAGCAGACTACCTATACCTAAATAATCAGATATACAACACTGAGTCTGGAATAGATCTTAAAGATCATCTACTCCAACTTCCTTATTT